GATGGAATAATAATAAATACCAGAAAAAAATGTTCCCGCTTGAATCGATAAGAAGTATGACTGTTAATGAAAATATTGAAAACCTTAAAACACCTTACCTAGTCAGGGACTTAGCCAAGGGGGGGGGGGGGTCACAGGGACCATGGTCCCCCTGATGGCCAAACATAAAATGAAATAAAGTAAAAAAAATCAGCTGCACCACACACCCCGAAAATAGTGGGCGAAATCCGAAGTTTTCCTTTTTTGGAGGGGGTATAGGTACGACACCAGGCCGCGACCTGTGGCCCAACCTGAGCAAAATCCTGACTACGTGCCTGTACCTAGTCTTGCATAATTTTTATTAACCCGCGCCCCGTAGGAGGGGGATGGGGGTGGGGGCGAAACGGCCCCTCCCTGTCTTTTTCCGTGAATATCTCCTAAACGACTGCAGATATCGTCATCAAACTTTCAGAACCCCTCCGAACATCAATTTTACACATTGTGATCATTTTTTCAAAGGCTACGATAGGTTGGCCACAAATGACGTCAGAATGACGTCATTTTCTGTCATTTTCGACAAAAAAAAAAACAAAAAAAATCGCGGGAAGAGCTGTCAGGCTATACAGCTTTGAAGATACAGAAAAATGTTTAATGCATAGAAGGTATAGAATTACCAGGGCTATCAATCTGTCATCTCAGATTTTCGTAACTTTTGGTTTTTGACCCCCAAAATCCAAAAAGTTATTTTTTGGATATAATAACAAAAAATCCCAAAAAATTTCCGGATTGAAAAAACGGAATTTGTATGATAGTCCCTACTATCTTCCATCCACACACCAAATTTGAGATCGATACCTCTTTTTTGGCCAAGTTGTAGAGAGAAAACTTCAAAATTGATGAGGTCATATTTTCAAACTCAATTTTTAGTAATTCTAGATCACGTAGCTCAATACAAAGACCACCATTAGACTCCCCGTGACGAGTTGCATCGAATCATTACTCATTTTATGCAAAATATCAACTTTGAAACTTGACCTAATTTGACCTGACCTTGACCTGACCTTTCCCAGAACATAACCTAAAATGGCCCCAAAGGTTGCCTAATCCACACAATCACATTTGTCATGTAAAATGGACCATGAAACATGTATCAAACGACACTTTCATATCGTGGCCCTCAGTGACCTGACCTCTATGACCTGACCTAGTATCAGTGACCTCTAATAGCAAAATGTGTTCGACAGACAATTATCCATCCATGATTTTTAATAACATGCCTTTTACTCTATTTTACAATACATTTCTTGGAATGCCTGTAAGTGGTAAAAATGCGACCTTTGACCTGACCTGTGACGTCATCGGTTGGACCGAGGTCAATGAAATTAAGTCACAAGGTACTTCCTTGGTGGGGCTTTCGAACACCGTTTGAATTTTGAAAATCGGCCGGTGACTTTCCGAGATCTTAGGGGGGGGGGGGGGCTACGGGTGGCAGGGTTCGCTGATAGCCCTACGGGGCGCGGGTTAATGATTGACAATTGTGATGCAGCTTCAAATCGGTCATGGTCTTCACGCAGACTGAATGGGATCTTGCATATGTGCGCATCATAACCAATGCGGCAACATCCTTCACCTTGCCTATACCTAGCCAAAAGATACATTTAAAGCCTTACCTTTGTTGTTCACTGCTTGCCGCAGTTTTGGTCGTCTAGCAGACACTGCATGCTTCGCCGCACCGGAGGCCTCGCTTCACGATATATGCAGTATGCACGGTGTATAGGGAACTGCCGCGCTTCATCCACGCCACCCCACGCTTCACAGTTCACCATGCAAATGGCGATTCAAAATGGCGGTTAAAATGGCCACGTGGAACACTGTTGTAAAATAACGCTCCAAGCTGTAAAAATATATCCTTGAAGAGTGAAATAACCATGTAGCATAAAACCACACCTAACAATCCATCGCTCATCAAGCCCACGGTGTAAATTTACTCCATTTAGGTTTTGCGGTAATCAGCTGAGCCACGCTAGTGTAAATTTATGCTACCAACTAGCCATTTATTATCCGCATGAGATTCAAACTACCCTTGGGTAATAATTTTACTACCAAAAGGCTGAGGTGTAAAAACATAAGAACATGAAATTACACCATAGTTGCAAGAAAAGCCTAAAGTACTGTATAAATTACACCTAAGTTGAGTAAAAATGCACCTAGTCATCTTTTTACTCTGAATTTTCGGTTAAAGGTGGTACAATTAGTCTAGAAAGTGGTGTAAAGTGGTTACAAATATCACCCAAAAATACCACCAAGGTGTACTTTTCTTTCAGTGTAGAGCTACAGCGCCGCGGAAAAGCGCATTCGATAGCCCTGTTACAGACCTTTCTGAATAATGCTCTCAGATTTGACCTCAGGTCAACGGTTTAGCCTCCAGAGGGCAAAAACTCCAAAAATAGCCGTTTTTACGAAAAGCATTTTTTCGGCAATAACTTTTGACTCAAAAGAGCCATGATATTACTTTTGCCATCATCATGTTCCTCTCGTTGAGACGCGTCGAATGAACTGTAATTTGACCTTGAAAGGTCAATTCGAAAATTTGACTTCAGGTCAAGGTCATGACCTGATCGGAAAAGGTCATGTTGCACATAAGTCGATCCGCAACGTCGAGCCGAACACATCTAAGGCGTTTTCAGCGCTCTAGCACGCCTCTATAAGAAGTTATTAGTGAAAAACTGTTAGCTGTTCGTGACCTGAGATGACCTCGGGGGCATAACGAGGGGTCACAGTTGCCATTTTCCGGTTCAGTGTGTCAGTTTTACCTACCTCTCGATTTTTGAGAGTGTCTAGAATAGGGTTCGTGCAAAACAGACGCTTTTCAATTTTCTCCCATTGACTTATAATGGAGAGGCCGCAAAATTGACCTGACCTTAGGTCACCGATATCAAAATTCCGAGATATACATTTTATAGATAATGTTGCTCTAATCAATCGCTGAAAGTTTCAACGCAATCGATCAATCGGTGTAGCTATGACGAGCATTCTTATTTTTTCTGAGGTGAGGTCACTTGGCGTGACCTGGTGACCTGACTTAAGGCGACCTAGGTCTGAAATTTTCACAACATGTGCGGAAATGATGCACGAACCGGTGTGCCAAATACGGCGGCTCTCCGCGATGCCGTTTTTTTGAGATATCTGCGAAAAAACGCAGGAGAGGGTGTTCAAACACCCCCCCCCGGCCCGGCGCGGGTTAACCCGCGCCCTGCTGGGGGGGGTGTTTGAACACCCCCCCTTGTGGTTTTTCGCGAATATCTCAAAAACGGCGGCGCGGAGCGCCGCCGTTTTTGGTACACCTTACCATACATCAATTCTACACATGTTGTGAAAATTTCAGACCAAGGTCATTGAAGGTCAGGTCACCAGGTCACTTGAAGTGACCTCACCTCATAAAAACTTTCAATGTCTGTCATAGCTACACCGAGTGACCGATCGCTTTGAAACTTTCAGCGATTGCTAAGAGCAATAGCATGTACAAAATGTATATCTCAGAATTTTGATATCGATGACCTAAGGTCAGGTCAATTTTGCGACCTCCCCATTATAAGTCAATGGGAGAAAATTGAAATGCGCCTCTTTTGGATGAAAGACATTATAAACACTCCCAAACACCGAATTACAAGTGGTTTAGACACACTGAACTTGAAAATGGTGTCCGTGACCCTTGTTTATGCCCTGAGGTCATCTTAGGTCACGAATGGTATCTAACAGTTTTTCGCAAATAACTTTTGATAGAGGCATGCTAGAGCGATGAAAACGCCTTAGATGTGTTCAGCTCGACGATACGGATCGACTGATATGCAACATGACCCTTTCCGGTCAGGTCATGACCTTGACCTGAGGTCAAATTTTCAAGTTGACCTTTCAAGGTCAAGTCATAGTTCATTCGATGCGTCTTGACGAGAGAAACACGATGCCGGTAAAAGTAAGCTCGTACAAGGCTTGGGTCAAAAGTTATTGCTGAAAAACTGTTTTCGAAAAAAAATCGGCTATTTTTGCAGTTTTTGACCCCTGCAGGCAAAACCGTTGACGTTAGGTCAAATCTGAGGGAATTACTCAGAAAGGGCGTTAATAGGGCTATCGAATACGCTTTTCCGCGGCGCTGTAGCTCTATTGGTTCCCGAGTTATGCGTTGGCTTCTTGGAAATTTTCGACATTCGACCTGGAAATCGGCGAAATTTTGCCTTCAATGACCTCTGGTGACCTGACCTTTGACCTGACGAAAAAATTGACCGAAGTGATTTCGTCATTATTTTTTACGCTCTTTCGAACGCCGCCTTCCGCGTATCGCTACGTGGCCCAGGAGCCGAGTTACAAGGGGGGGTGTTCAAACACCCCCCCCCCCCCAGCAGGGCGTGGAAATCCAGGACCCCCAGCAGGGCGCGGGTTAATGCATCAATATTCATATACCCTGCTTAAATCTTATTTATATGAAAGACGCGTGCTCTTCGTTAGGTGCGACATTAACCGATCGCCATTAGTAGTCCACCATTCATCTTGATAGTGGCAGGGATTGGGTGAATTTATGAAGAACGTCACCTGGTGGTCCCTCGCCCATTGTTTGGATACGGAATACCTATGCACCGTGTGCACTTTGCCGGCATACCATACAGCGCGGGGCCAATGCATATCATTTGTGAAGTAATGTCCCCTCGCGAACACAAGTGTGCTCACGTCATGAGACTCGCTGGTTTGCATGGCAGTTCAAGGCCCCCGAGTGACACCATTTTGTGCTGTGGAATAGGATTTGTCTTTCGTGAGCTGCTTTCACAATGCATTGAGGATGCATTGGAAATGATTGCTTGTTATCAATTTTTTGTCATCCATTTCAGGTCGGGCGGAGGAAATTTGAGAAATACACATGAAATAAAGCAAATGCATGGACATGAGAGAGGTGTCTGTATGCTGCTGGTCTGTGTTTTCTGCTGCCACCCCACCGTTCCGCTCTGACCCCCGTTCTGTTCGCCCCGCAGAAGCGCCCGCGATGAGAGCCCGCCAGGAGACGCCGTCGCCGCCGCAGCAGCAGCCGGCCATGGCGCCGGCGCCGCTGCCGGTCATCTCGTTCGACGTGCACGCCTTTCTGGGCGACGACCCGCCGGTGGACCAGCTGCTGCAGAGCCTGCTGGACTCACCGCGGGCCTCTGTGCCGGCCGCGCTGCCGCCGCCGGCGCCGGCCGCCGCCGCCGGCTGCTCGGCCGTCACTACCGTGGGTGCCCAGGGCCGGCCGTCGGCCGCTGAACGGGCGCTGCTGGCGCGCGTGCGCCGCGTCCTGGAGGACGTCAAGGTGCCGGCCGGCGTGCCGCCCACGGCCGCCCGCATGGTGCTCGTCCACTACATGGAGGCCCAACGGCGCAGCACCGTGGATGGAAACATGTGAGTGACGACTGCCCCGGGTATACGCCAGGCCGGGAGATACGGGCCCTCGCCGGGGAATTTTAGGGGATACTCATTTATTTTGGATTCCTTACAGATTGATGCGATACTATCATCATCTTAATTCTTATTATATTCGTACCTTTTATCGTTAGCCACCCTGGGAAAACTTTTAATTTTGACCGCAAGACCAAAGTACAAAGTATATAACTATTCACTCTATGGCTAAGCATTGACATAAGGTGACTTTAATTATCTGGCAAATATATGCGATTACCTTTGAATGCCCATGTACCACAATGCGACACGACCGCTGTGCTACAACTGCATGGCTTGCCTATGTGCCCGGTTTGCAACCTTCTGGCTGTCTCAGGAAGCGGAAACTGGTCGAGTCGGCAGCCAGGAGGAAACAGCCGCTGTTCAGGGATTCGCTGAACCACACTGGCCCTTCACTGTCCTCGATATGGCTCCGTACAGTGGAGCAGGGGCCGATCGAAATAGCCGACCACTGGCCGGCCGGTCGCGTGATCCTAGGGCCCGAAAGTAGGCAGAACTAGTCGGTTGAATCACTGTAAGGCTCTTTGACGGCACGAACCATCCGCGGACATAATAATTTTCTCATTTCGTCTGAGGCTCATCGTGCTCCAAATTACCTCGGTTCGTGAATCGAGGCATGGCTAAGCGATCTCGAAGTCTTAGAAACATTATCTCGGCTCTTATCTATCTGTTAGCAATATCCGCTACAAGCTAATTTACTCCGTAAGTTACTACTGAAACTAGACTGAAATCGTGTAATACGAGGACAAGATTGTCGTCATGCCCGGGTGGCATCGTTTGTATTTATTGTAAAAACGTGCCGCTTTTACCCAAACAGGACTGTGTGTTCCTGCTGTGGACTTCCTCCCTGCACGCGATCGTAGCCCCACAGGTCGTAGCACTCTATGAGAAACCGGCCGATAGTTGTGTGCGGCGCTCAGGGCCGCACCTGCGAGGAAATTCACGTGGCTTCGTTCGCTGCGCTGTCTTGCGCGATGTATAGCTAACGAAGCGAAAAGTCTACATGCACCGCTCCGGCTGTAATCTGGCGGAATGGCGGACTCGTCAAGTGAAATCCGTAGAGCTCAACTGCGTCCTCTAATGCCACAGACTAAAGAGCTCTGTAGAGTTTGGTGAGATGCGGCTGGCGCGTCTCGTAGGACCATTGGTGCTCCATTGCTTTCCGTTATGGACTATTTTCGGGGGTGGAACGTGGGCATTTTGGGGTCTTGCATGTGCATGTTGTATGCATGGAATCGCTGCATTCTTTGACTTACATGATTGTTAAAATGGAAGCTTTTTGTAATGAATCGGATCTAACTTTTAGTCTGGTCCGAACTTCTATGGGTTTTTGCACGAAACGACGCCAAGCATGCTTTGTTCCGCGCTGATTCCTGGCTTGAATTCATTGTAGCTCGGTATTAGCCGAATTCTTTAAGCATCTCGGGGCTCGTGCTTCACGAATCAACTTCTGCAGATTGATTCAATTCATTGGAAAGTTGCACACTCGTATCAGACTACTCTAGGCTTCTTACGATTAGGATGTTCTTCTCAGTCGGGCCGACCCACCATCTTTGGGTAGTGTTGGCCCGCCGAGGAAGGGGTGTCCTTTCAGGATCATCGTTGGCACGCGGCACTCAGTCCCTCCGGCGAGGACAGGCGGGCGCCGGTCGCCCGTTGCACGTAGTGACGCAAGCCCGACCTCCCGCTGTCACAATCGGGGACAGTTGGAGTGGCGGGACTGACCCGTGGATGCCGATACGATACGAGTTCGCCACTGATAGCTGTAGTCGCGCTCCACAGCGACTGAGAGCAGCGGTGGGAGTACTGACGGGCTATGGAAAGGCTACGGCCAATAATGCGTCTGGTAGTTGAAAGGTTGTGAATGAACTAAAGTAGCTACTTTTTTGTTAAGGTGAATATCCCGATGTGCTGATGCAAGTTTTCGTAAGCCTCGAGCTTCTGGGTTGTTTGTGGGATAATGATCAGATTGACCTTCTCTAGCGTCGTTCTGTGGGGCTCACGAAGCTCCTGGCGCTAAGCACCATTGACTTCTCAAGTATATCCAGGACGTTTTCTGCGAGATGCGTCGTCCCCTCCCACGCCGCCGGTGGTTGCAGCAGTACTAGAATATCACAGCCGTGGGCTGCCTGTATGCGTCAGCCTATCTGTGTTGTGCACACAAGGCCTCCTACTCACGCGCTGTTACTATGGATACAAACCGCGGCTGTGTCACGCACTTTGTCCGCGTAACCGAGCTCGAGTGTTTGGCTGATGTAAATGATCATGGACATCACCATGATCGTATGACACCACCCTCAGAATCTCAACCCTCCCTGCGCAATGGTTATCATTTCAACACAGCGGATTTTACATCATCCAGCCGGGCCCAGTTGGGGTTATTTCTGCGGCCGCTGATATGTCGACTTGCCATGACTCTTCACTGCTTTGTTGTGGTTCTGTAGGCTAGTGAATAATTCTGTTTAGTGTCTGAGTATGCCAACAGGCGAAACTGTGGCTGCAGACGGCTGGTCGCCCTGATGTTTCATGGGCGATCATAACCAGCGTAGTCGGGCAAACCCTTGCGTAACTTTGAAGCTGCCGGAAGACCTGTCGACATTCAGTCTCTATTACACAGACACAGAGACTCACAAGGTGCTCAGCCGGTCGAACGCCCATCGACATTCGACTCTGGCATCTGACCCCTATGAACCCTGCCGCCGCCAGGGAGCGATAATTGCAGTTCCGTGCGCCGAGCTGGCCAGCCGTGTGCCGAAGGTTATGTAGGTGCGCCTAGCGGCACTCTGGGTGCGCCTGGCGGCATTGGGGGCGCGTCTGGCGGTATTGGGGAGCGTCAGCGGGTGCGGGACGCGTCTGGAGGCTTGTTCCGTGGGTGTGTGTATAGCTCGTCTGTGGATGCTGGGCTTCCGTGGGTGCGGGTATGTGTACTGTGTACTGCCCAGCGCCGATCGCAGTAGAGGTGAAATTATGACACCCATGTCAGCGGTATTCCGCCAAACAGACGCTGACTTACAAAGGGGCGGAAGGACCGCCGCCGCAAGCCTTCCCCACAATCTGCCGTGCGGGGAAGATCGCGGGACGCTCCCGCTTTCGGCCTGTCACCGACCGGTTCCCTTGTTCTCGTTCAAGTGGGCCCTCTCTCCGTCCCGGCCCGGCGCCGCCCGGGCCGGCGGCTGCGATACGCCGCTTCTGGGGTTCCCGGGGCCAGATAGGGCCGTCTGAAGTCACTTCCTGTGACTGAGCTGCGCAGCCGCTCCGCTGGTATGACGCCGGTCGAGGAATCTGAATTTCCGGCACTTTGTGTCTGAAACAGAGTATGTCTCCAAACAGAGTAAATAAGGGACTAAAAACGACTTAGAGATAGCGAATGAAACATGAATGTCATAAGGTTAAGTTGTTTTGTGTACTGGCATTAGCAAAAAATCAGCGATCACTGATAAACCAGCGCTAATACCACTGATCAGATGGTGATCTGTGGTAGCTGATCATTGATCGCGCCCGTAGCCGCGGCGATCACTCACACGGTGATCTCCGCTCTTACAGACTGCTCCATAAGCTGGCCAAGAAGAACAATGCCGCCCAGTTGGCGCGCTACGCCGACCTGATGAAGAAACTCCAGCATAAGACACACGTCAATACCAAGAACCGACACGGAGAGGTGAGAGACCGTGACCCCAGTCTTCCTTTGCTCGCTGTCCCGCGAACAGATTACATGGCTTGTGTTTTTGTTGTCGTAATCCGATGGCTGATGCTGATTAGTGTCTCTTCACTCGCACCCATCAATTCGTCTATTTCTACAGTCTGCACGTTCTTTCTTCCTCATTTTCTTTGTCCCTCTGACCCTTATATCGCTGGCTAGTGAGCGGGACGAGACAATAGTCGGGAGCGTTCTGCAGTGAACGATACACGGGGAGGGGAGTAGCAAGAGGTTCTGATTTGGCCCTCCATAGACCTCTGGGGCTATCATAAAAGAGAGTAAGTTGATAGATTTCAAACTGAAAAACCTCGAAAGGCAAAAAGTCGATGTGTGGAAAAGTCAACGAACTTTTAGTTCACATTGCATGAAAAATTCAGGCAGACAGAACGCACATAAAGTTGGAAGGCAAAAATTCGAACCATTAATAAGGCAAAGAGCATTTGGCTGGAGCTACTTGTTTGCAAAGTAAATGTTTTGCTACCATTTCGGCGAAAGAATTGTTTTCGTTGTGCAGCGTACGTCGCTGGGTGAGACCAGTCCAGTCTCAGTGGCGTTGATTCACTGCCGTTATTGTCTTTGTAGTGACTTCTTTACTCACTGCTGTGGGTAAAAATCTTCTCGTCATGAATAGCGTGTCTTTGTAGTTGTGTACTCAATGGTGAAGATGGCTTAAACGATACGGCTTTGAACCATGAATGGAACAGGCTGTTGTTGAATTTGCGGAAGCCAGAGCGATTAGGTCCACTAACTGAAAGGGCCACATAATGGGAAGTTTTAAGGATTGCCATTTGATTTTTACAGCTTTGCCGAAGCTTTGCTCGTTGGCAGCTACCGTCATGCTATTGGCTTTACCTCCCTTTCCAGCTCGCCTGCTTCTGCCTAAATGCCAGGATTTTATGGTGCAATAATATTTATTAGAAGCCTGGAGGGACGAAAACCAATAAGCATTGCTGTCATAGCTTTTGATGCTTGACAATCAAGTCGAATTTTCTTGTCTGAAAGGGGAACCAGGAGCATGTGTACCAGAAGAGCTAGCTTTCTTGTTTTTGTTTATGACTGCTCCAATTATTTTTTCTTCCTCTGATCGTGCTCACTATTTTCACTACCCTTTTTGCACCCGTGGCTTCCCCGGCCCATGATTCCTGACCCCTGTTGAGGACCGTTCTGTTTATAGGCGTTGATTGACCCGCCCCTCTCTCTCCCAGACCCCTCTGCACGTGGTGACCGGCGCCGAGTGCGCGCGCATCCTGCTGGAGCGGGGCGCGCAGCTGGACGCCGTCGACAAGCTGGGCAACACGCCCATTCACCTGGCGGCCCGATATCAGCGCGTCGAGGTGCTCGCCGCCCTACTCGACTGGGGCCCAGACTACAGCCTGCTCGACAAGAAAAACCTGGAAGGTGGGTGCTGGGGGGTTAACTTCAGACTATGCGGACTAAACTAGACTACAGCATCCTCGACAAGAAACATCTGGAAGGTGGGTGCTGAGAGGTAAACTGCGGACTGTGCGGACTAAACTAGACTACAGCCTGCTCGGCAAGCAAAACCTGGAAGCTGGGTAACTAGTGCCACACTTAGCCGCTGTAACTCTGGATGGGCGGGACTTAGGAGGGTGACTCAGGAGGCAGGATATGACGCGTCCTTTACGTGTTCTATGGTGAAGGAGTTGTCAGAGAGGATGTTGTCGGTTTGGACGTCGGTGGAACCCGCCCCGGGTCTGCCCCGCAGGAGAATATTGCGCTGGAATTCTGGGAATGTAACGTGACGTATCGTACAGTGTAACGGCCGCTGTGACGGGACAGGGTTACGTCCTGTGTGACTCCACTGTGGCTGTACTGTCCGTTGCGTGACGGCGATGGTGATGTCCGTGAATAGTGACGGGCGGATGTGACGACTGGAAGTGGTGGAGGCTGGCTGGCGCTCGGGTGCTCCATTCTTGCAACGATGATACACTAAATTTGGTATCCTGCTCAGCAGAAATACTATTTTGATTATCTTTTTAAGCCTACACAATAGGCTGATCTATCGTAAATTGCATGTGGCTGCCTGATTCGCCCATCAGGCTCGGTTTCCCCTTCTCTTTTTATGCTGTCTAGCTGTATTTATCCGTACATCATCACTATCCTCGCTCTCATCCATCTAATGTACCACCCGTCTCAGAGAAATATTTCTCGCCCGTTCACGCCCTTCTCAATTACGGTGCAAGAACGTCATCGTGATGTCGACCTCCTGTCAATTTTGTCTGCTCTGTAGCGTGCCTTATGGTATTCCTGTTACCACTGACCATCTCTACTGCCCATCTGGTCTCGAGACACCCCTATTCCTCTGGTGATACTGCCCCTCCCTCAGGCGTCTGTGTTTCCCAGGATTTCGGCGCCTCAAGGAGTGCTGTCCCTCAAACACCCCTATCCATCTGGTGATATAACTGCCCTAACTCTTTGTCTCACAGGAGTAGGAGAGTGCTGCGCCTGCGGAGTGCTCTCCCTCAGCCACCCATCTATCCCTCAGCACTACCGCCCCTCATCAGTCACCCCTGCTCACCCCATATCCACCGTCTGTCTCCAGGCTACACGGCTCTTCACCTGGTGGTGATTCATCAGCCGGTCTCGGACCCGCACCGCCGCGCCCTCCAGCTGCTCATCGAGAACAGCGTCGATGTCAACGTGGCGGTAAGTGGCGACGGTGGGACGTGGGACGGTGGGAGGTGTGATAAGAGGGCGTGCAAAGGTGACATGGAAAGGGTTGGTGTTATGGCAGTTGGGCCTGTGCTTTTTATGCTCTGAAGTATGTATCGCTAGTGGATGTTTGCCGTTTCGTTTTGATTTCTCACGTTTTAAGTTTTAGCAAACAGTACCTACATAGTGAGATACACGTACAACGTTGAACTGTATTTCACACACAAAATTGCAATGCCAATCATGCCACCACATGATAATGTTTTCTTCTAACCTTGTAAAGAAATTCAGCTATGTCGTGGGGAATGTCGTGGATGGGGATATGCTCTTTATTGAGCGATCTTGCGCACTTACTGATGTTAACATTTCATAATGTTTGTTTTGAGTATGTCAACCACGTCAAAGATTAAGCAGTTACACTCTGATTCACGCCGCACCTAGTTACTGATATATTATCGACAACGATCACATGAGTTACCTCTCTGACTCCTTTACCTACTTGACTGCACATCATCTGTTCCTGCCTAAGGATACCTATCTCCTACCTACCTCTCGTTTCACGCACACGATTCACTCCCGCGTCCCTGCTCATTGAACGACACCTAGGGTCGCTCGGCGCTCCTAACTGCCTCCCTCTCCCCACACAAGGCTCACCTCTCTCCACTCTCTCCTCAGGACGACACTGGCGGCCGCTCGGCTCTGTTCCACGCTGTTCTCCGCGGAGATGAGCTCTCCGTCCGTGAGCTGGTGGAGAATAACGCCGCCGTCAACATGGCCGACTTCTCCGAGACCACGCCACTGCAGGTGACTGGGGCGGGAGAGGGTGGAACGGGTGGGGAGAGGAGCGGGATAAGACAGACTTACGACGGTGACCGATACAGAGACCGATACTGAGACTGAGATGGGAATTGAGGCTGTACCTGAGGTGAATGTGTCACAGTTTCGTGTTGAATGGGAGGTGGACAGCGATTTGATTTTAGCAGAAGAGTGACGTCAGTTTTTGAAAATGTTCGGTTAGGAAATTGGTGTTTGTTTTATTGGGTTAGGCCCCTTGGTCTGACAAGGCCATTTCAGAGCCGGAAGGATGGTAGGAATTAGGGGGAGACATTGGTCTGGGCAGGCACCCTAAAGAGTCGCCGGGGTTGAGCCCGTCCAGTTGGACAATGGACAGGCCGACCAGCCCTCCAAGTATCCAATGCACCCGGCTATGGGTGGGCTCCAAGAAAAGCAGCCCGCATGAGATCGAGCTGCCCAGCCAGCTCGGGTCAGGGGTTGAGGGGTGTAGGAGTCAGGAGATAGGGTTTGACTGTCTTGAGGCTGGAAACGACGGATGGATGGTTTTGGAAATGAGAGCGCTTAAATGGTAGTGCTCAGGGACAGACGGTGGTGCGAATATTATGGTGCTCGCTGAGGGATAGGCAATCCCTGCCTGCGACTGAGGCAGCTCGAGAAGATTAGTATGATGTGGGGGCGAAGGATAGGATGACTGGCATATTGATTGGGAACGAACGAGAACGGACACGTCAGACGTAGGCGGATTTTCCCAGAACTTGTACCGAGCGTTGGACCCGACATCTAGCGGCGGGCGGATAAAACACTGACGCGTGGTCCTGCCGGCGTTGGTTCAGTGGCTGATGGTTTTCTAGTGAGACCGTGTTAGCCATTATCCACAGGGCCGACAAACGTGATGAGTCATTATCGATGGGGTGTGCAGGGTGAGGTTTGGTATACATAGAATAAGGCTTGATGAACGCTTTGTTTGTTATTGTATCATTTCACCACGATAAAATATGAATGAATTCACTTTTATCTTTTCATGCATTTGAAACATTAAACCGTGTGCCCGTTACTTATGCTGGTTGGAGTGAAAGGCAAACCGACACACCGATTTCATCACCCGTTTCGTCGTTTTCAACCTCGGGATGCTGTAATCTTTCTCCTCCACTCCGCAACCCCATTCCGGGCTGGACAGGCACCTTTATCTCATGCGGGCTGCTCGCTTGGAGCGGCACCGCTGCTCGCGAGGGAGCACGCCCGTAGCCGGGTGCAGAGAGTGCTTGGGGGGCTGGTCGGCCTGTCCATTCGGACGGGCTCAGCCCCTGCAACTCACCAGGGTGCTCGCCCAGACCAATGTCTCCCCCTAATTCCTGTCATTCTTTCGGCTCTGAAATGGACGTCATGTCAGACCGAAAGGGCCTAACCCAATAAAACAAAACAAACAATATGTGAGGCTGTTCTGCTCCGTTCGCGTTCGCGAGGATAATCAGACATGGCAGATATTGCGTAGGTACCGGTGCCGGCCACAGAACTCGCGGTAGTGCGCAGATGACCCACGGTTGCCATGGAAACCCACCAAACAAGTCAATATCTGGCGTCGTGAGATGGTGTTCCAAAGTGATTGATCTTGACGAAACGTTGACTGGGCGTGCGCTGCGCATTGCGCAGTATGTTGTGGTGTGCTATTTGCGGTAGATGTATGCATGTCTGCGGTCTGATCTCGACCGCCATGATCGTAGCCTAGCAATGACTATTAGCAGTGACCTACAACGATCTGGCCATGAAATGATCATTGATCATGACTCCACATGACTGGCCTGACAATCGACTACATAGCTTGAAAAGACCTGACTTGGACCTGACCGTGACCTCTTCTAACTACCCTCCCTCCGACCACACTTTTAACCAGTGTTCATTCACTCCCCAGGCTGCCGAGGACGTCCTTCCCGCAAACAACAACCACATCTGCAGCATCCTACTGGAGCGTGGTGGCTTCAAGGTGCCGCCAGCCGACCGGGTGACCCAGACCGGTCGTCGCTCCGGCTCCCGCAGAGGGCGCTCCTAGAGCCCGACAGAGCGATACGCGCCGGGACGGGTGCACCCGGCGGCTGCACTGGAAGCTGGGGTGTGGAGAGAGAGTATGGGAGGGATGCTGGAGACAGGGCGTATACAGGGTGTCTCAAAAGTTCGTTTACACATTTCCCATGTCAATAAAGCATATAAGAACCGGCCAAAAATCTTAGGTTTTGGTGTTCGTGTGTACACTAGACAAATATGCATGCTTTGACAACTGATTCGGAAGGTTGGAAACCAAACCCTTTGCTGTATCTCCAAAAATATTTGCCCATACCGATTTTCGTCACTCCGTCAGCTGCCGGAGGCTGATAAAAGGTTACCAGCTTTCAAGCTCTTGTAGGGGAATCCCCCGTAGTTTCTGCGTCGGATTTAGGTTTGACGAGCTCCCCGGCAACATCCGCTTCTCCCTGAAAGCCGATAGCTTGCATCGACACCATCCGTGAGTATTTTGTAGGTCTTCTCTGGCGCTAACTCCTTCATGAATGACTGGCGCCGACCTCCCAAGCACCATTTTCCTTTTCAAAACAACCCCATTCCTGAACAAATGGGAAGTGCCAGGGGCAAATTTTTCGCAGCATATCGTAGCAGAATGTGTCGGCCATCTGCTTCTTAGACACATTTTGCAAAATTTGCGAATCCCGAACGCTCGTCATTCCCAATGCCAAGACCTTCGCTGGGTTCCGGAGTGTTTTCCTCAGGAGAGGTTCTGCTTTGTAAACGGCCAAAACCTGTCCATCGTGCGGTTTTGTCCAGATTTTGTGTGTAAAAGAAAGCTATTTGCTCCAGAGCTGCCTCTTGAAACTTCATTAGATAAAACTTTACATTAATTGACACTTTTGGAGGGTCACTTGTCCTCGGCATTGACGATTTTCGCATTATTTTCCCTCAAAATTTAGCGTTATAGATATCATAAACAATTTTTAATGATATTTTGTCTTTATTTTATGATGACCTGCAATTTTTGAAACTGGGTAACCTCTGTCTGTGAGCTTCTAGTCAGTTTTCAATAGTTAGGACTGCATTTTCAGCTGCTTTCCCGAGCACGAGTCTGCTGCGGTACAAGGGTCGTTCAAAGCGCTGTTAGTCTCGCATGGTTTTGTTATTCAAAAATTTTAGCCACCGTTTTTATTAGATGACCATCATGTTGTACTCATCCTCGCCGACACTTTGCCATGTGTCATTTCCGACCTAACCATTCCCATTACTCGTGAAGCAGAGAGTTTCTCAGCCGACCCGAGTATGCGACCTCCATTTTCATGCCTGATCCATGGTCAGAGGTGAACCCTTTTTGTGAGCTCATGAAGGGTCGAATGCGCTTGAAAACAATGAAGCTGCTTGAGGAAGGTTGTTACCAATGCCCATGCAAAATTTCGACTGTTAATTTCATGTTGATTCAGAATTATTGACAAAAAAGCATGGCTGGTACCTGTAAGCGAACTTTTGAGACACCCTGTATTTGTGTGTGGAGAGAGTGAGAGAGGCTCGGTCTATCCGCCTGGCCTGAGGCTGAGTCGACGCCACGGTGTGTATCGGTTAGTGTTGGGATGGAAAGCTCTTTGGAAGGCATCGGTAGCCGCCTGTTTGTAACTGACAAGCACTACATTCGGTTATCACCAAGTCGGTGCCGATGGCCCTCGCTGTAGCGCCAGGACGGCGGTGGGAATCCGACTCGTGTGCGCTGTGTCTCTGTGTTTCGTGTGCGGCCATACCAGCGCAGAGACGGCAACAAGGTCCGACTCCCCTTATGTCTTGAGTATGCGACAGAGTAGACAGTGGTTAGTGTCGAGTCCCAGCTGCCCGCTCCGATCGAGGGGAGTGTAGGGGTCAGCTGCCTACAGGCACTGCATTGTGTGCGTTTCAGAACGGACATAAATGCACCGATGTGAGCGGGAGAACAGTAGGCCTGTGACGACTGTGAGTGTATGATGTGACTTCATTGCTGCCTGAGCGCGCACCCAACACTGGTCCAAAGTGAATGACTTAATTAATGAAAACGGTGAGGCTTATTCGATATGTTGAACTTTGAACCTATTTTTGGCTTATGTTTCGTTCTAATCATAGTCATTTGTTGTTAAAGCGATTTTGTGCACCGTTCATCATTATGGTTTTACTGCACCTTTCGTGGCGGTCTTACTACCGTCTTGAACAGGTTGCCAAGTAGGTTCTAGAACACTGCTGAACTATTTTATTGTGTACTTTGAAATTTCGCTCCATTAGCGTTCCCTGCATATGAGACAGGGTCACGTGTGCCCTGACTGCTTTTTGCCATGCTATGCGCAATAACTTAATCAGCTTTTATTCTTACTACATCGCTACCAGCTTCAGCGCTGCAGTTATGTATCCACTTCATGTATGTCTGTCTCTCCCGCGACTGTTTGGATGTTCGCTGTTTTACGTGTGCGAGCTGCTTCCGTTGATGTAACAGAAATGCTGGCGATCGATGAGGCTTGTAAGATGGACGTTCAAACGGTATTTTTATAGCTATATTGGCTCGAACGTAGTGAGGCAGGCGAGGGACAGCGTCTCGAGGCCAGCGACGAGGTTTGTTGTTGCGCCGGATGGGACGAAGGGTAACTTGTGGTGCTATGATACGGAGACAGCTCCGTAAGGCGGACAGGCCGTTTACGACGCACCTGTGTCGTCCGTGACGCGTCTCTGTTGCTATCTTACCGTGACGTTCGGCTGGCTGGATGAGTGGTGCGAGTACAAATGCCAGGCTCTGTAGTCTGTAAGCAGAATGAGCGCACGTCCACGCCTCAGCGGTTGGTATGTAGGCGTAGGTAGACCATACTGTACCCCCGCGGATAGCTTAGGGAGGTAAAAAGACCACAATCGCTGGCGAGAAGTCTGCTGAGCGTGTCCAAGGATCGGCGTTAGGCGAAAGCTGTTCGTATGTGTACTGCATGGAATCAACTCTACAGGGTGGAAAGTAATTACGCGAACATACTTTTTCGTCTTATAGCAATGGAAAAAGCGGCGGTGACATGAAAATTTCACCTTTTCATATATTCCTATTTATGTGCGATACACTGACAAAGGCGTTCAGGCATAATTGACATGAGCATGTCAAGCACTGTTGGCCAACGCTTAGTCCACGCCTCCTGGAGCTGTCTGGTGAGGCAATCGATGTTGGTGGCTACTAGCAGCTCTTAGACGCTCTCCTGAAGAGTCGCCTGGATATTTTTGATCAAATTGAGGTCTGGGCTATTCCCAGATTGACCATTATATGCCCAGAAGAAGAACGGGTTCTCAAAGCACCAGTCTTGCGTCTTTTTGGCCGTGAGAGGAAGGACTTTATCAATCATGAAGAAGAGTTTCTTTGCGTCGGGCACAAAAGTGCGCTCAATCATTTTGCCCCTTTTGGTGCATTGATGGATTAGATAAAGAGACTCGTCTGGAAGGATGTTCCACTAGTTGTATACTTTGTTTTTGGTGGCCTTGTTGGTCACTGCATGCAATTCTGACACCATCCGGGCGCTCATAACACGCTGTGTGTTCCTTTGCCGGATGTTTGAAGGTTGGGACGGGCGGGACGTCGGACGCATCAGCAGCCCCCAACGCGTTGTTCTGCAGGTTTGACGGATGAAATAGCTTCGAAGATGTCTCACCCAACCACAAAGCCAGCTGCCTGTCCTCCTCTGTTCAGGTTTGGCGGTCTTTAGAAAACTTAAATTGACAATCCTGCTGTTAATTCATGAATTTTGGCCATCTCGATTGTTTGTACGGCTTAATTTTCGAATTTTCACGGATTTATGTATGAATCGTGATATCTTAGATCGGGTACCCGGCCAAAGTAAACCATTTCGCCTGTTTTCGGGTCGACTGTTGTCGTTTGGTCGCGGAAATGGTGACCACCCATTCGGCGCCTGAATTCGCCGAGGTTTTACTGCCGCCAACGGCTTTACTTTTTAAGTCCTCTTAAGTTTTATTATGCTTCAACCAAAGGTGTAATTGAGTAATGCTGGTGCCGAGACCGTTCCGAGTCCCTTCCGCACCAATCCAGCCAAAATAATCACAAACGCTTTCCCTGGCAACTTTAAATTGAGCTCTTTGCCCATTTTGGTCTTGAGCAGCGTATGGCGTCAGCACCACTCGAAGCCGAGAGGTGTTGTAGACCTTCCAAGTCATTTTTTCAAAGTAAGGTCACTTTTGTTAGATGAGGCGACAAGAAACACGACCAGTCATGTTCCATAACAGCCCGCGCTCATACAAAATCTCCACTGACGGGCGAAATTGTAAGAAAATACATGTTCGCGTAATTACTTTCCACCCTGTATGTGCCGGTGAGCAAACGCCATGCTTGAAGAAAAAGCTGGCTGTAATCGACCTGGATGGATTACCATCGAGTTGTTGAAGGTCGTTCGTCATGGGAAGCACCTCAGTGTTCAATTTTTGGCTATCGAAAAGTGTAATGAGCTTTGCTGAATAACCTAAAGCTTCTACTTATGCTGTATCAAATAAAGGTATGTACGCCGTTACCGGTTTGTTTGTGTTTGAGGTTTCATGCGACTCTGTGATCGCTTCATCCACACACCCGATGTTTGTGAAGGTGAATGAAACTACATATTGTACTACCTACCGTGGACAAACAACACATTTTTGCCGATAAGTTTTATCGTGAACTCACTCGGTGCCTGGTTTACGTGAACACTGGTTTACATCAGTCACGCCACCTGGATCGATGACGTCACGATCGGAATCGCTCCCCGCGTGCCGCCCTTACTGCCTTTTGATGCGCCATGCACGGGCTCATTCTGGGTAGGTCAGGAGGAAAAGAGCCGTCCGATTTCCGGCGATCAATAAGTCGGAGAAGGAAAAAAGTTTGCTCGCGATCGATTGATTCAGCTGTCTGGTGGACGGGGAGGTGACACCCGCTGAGGTTGGATCCTGGTAGACTGTCGGCTGGCTCTTAGGCCGTTCAGAACTCGGTGAAGGGCGGATTCACATCATTTCGGACTGGGAGATGTGGAGGAAATGGCTCTGACCATAGATACCGTGAGGTTATGGGGAGATCCAAAACGGTTTCACGGATGTGTAAAGCCATAGTCACAGCATCCCGAACATATCCGATGTTCGGGATGCCGTTGTTACGATTTTTATTGGCTATTAGGAACCAGGGTGGACAAGTTTTAGACCGAACGCCCTCTCAGCTCTCCATTCTCAGCAGAAATGGCGAAATATTTGACGTCACCTGACAGACGGGTGACGTCACATGGCAGACTGCTAACGTCACTGGTCAATATCAGAGGCGCCGTTTCGCCACTTGGCTGTTATTATGAGTGGTAGGGTTTGTGATTTGAAGGAAAAGTACTGTTTTGAAGTCTTACTGCGTAGTCAGTGATCGTCAGCTTTTGACGGAGCCGTGGAACGCATCGCGAAAGATGCCTATTGCCAATTATACAGATGCATGTCAGGACCTCACAAAAGCATGGCACCCTTTTGGGTTGTCGATCGGTGGTTGTTTTGACCACGGACTTGAGCAAGCAGCCCCTCTGCGCTGGTCGTGAGAGCCATTCGCGAGCCGAAGGCACGCTCCGCTCGTCAGCATGGGATTTTCCAGTGTGTGAGCGCTGCTGAGACGGATGGACATCCTCACGCACCCCGAAATGACCTCGAGTCGACGGAGAAGGTCAGATCACACTGCATAGCGCATTGTCGCATACACAGTCCTGTACGGTGGAAGGCGAGTTTGTCTTTAGAGGTCACCCCCCCCCCTCACCCCTTCCCAGAAGGTGCGGCCATCGGGAGTTCCCGAGACGCCGTGTGGGCGCCTCTGCGACAGTGGCGCCGCCGGTGGCGGACGGCCGAACCAGCGCCGCGGCAGAGGTTCGCTGGCCCCAGCTGAGGGCGGCACGGCTGGGGAAGAGCTGCGACAGCGCGACTGCGGGAGGGCGGACGGAGAGCTGCGAGCTCAGGTAGGTCCTCTGAGGTCTGCCGTGACCCGGGAACGCTGACCTGACTTGCTGTGACAGCGGCGAGGATACTGTGGTGTGCTTGGTGAGACCGCGTGGGCGGGCTCCACGGATCCGCCACCGGAGTTGTTTTCCATCAGCTGGCGTTTATTTGATGTCTGTAGCGGTGTTTCATACCGGGAGACGGCACACTGGGATGTCTGTCCGAGGCAGTCGTTTAGGGCTGTCTGACGTCAGTCCGACCCCCCCCCCCCCCCTCCAATCGATTGCTGAATCGCGCGTCAGATCTGACGCGGCCCGTCCCGGATGCGGCTGACTTCTGAGCCGTTCAGCGCTGGTCAGCCGTCACGGTCTGTCTCGCCCGGCCCTCTGCCGCGCCCGGCGGAATTCCTCCCTCGCTCTCCCTCCGGCGGTGCTCGCGTCCTGTTAGTACCGAGTACGGACCGTGCCGGCGCAGCTCCCCACCTCATTGTGTCCTCGGTGTCGCCTTTCCGCAGGACCGGCGCCCGTGCGCGTCAGGCTCGGAGCTGGGTCCGCGCGACCCCCGCCCCGCCCCGCCCCGCCCCGCTCAGCCGACACAACAGCGCAGTATGTGGTGACGTCACATGACCTTGGCCATGAAAACGGACTCCGGTCGGACGGCCGCCTGCCGGTCTGCCGGCTGGCTGGTTGGCTGACGGTGGACGGCGGAGACTGCCCGTGGGCGCCCTGGCGGCTCTATCGACCCCTGTGGCCCCGCCCTGTCCCCATACCCCCTGTACTCCTGGACACCCTGCCCCCGGGAAAAGGTCTCAGGTCAGAGTTGATTGTGGACTGACGCTGCCTCAGAGCAGTCGACACGGAAGGCGGTGCGCCGTCTCAAATAATGTTCACGGAATAAGAAAAAAGGCAAATTTGCGAGAGCGATGTCGACCTTGTTTTTGATCTTCGGACGGCACTATAGGATGGGAATCGACATCGCATTCTAATGCCAAATTTTCAGCTGTAACGTCAGGGGCTCCGCTATAAAATGATTATTTTATCCTTAGGCTCCCATGAAAAGTTTTATGTACATACCTAATATGCTTCAAATGATTACGATGTATTTGGCGTTTTTAATCCACCATCATGTTCAGAACTCTCGTCTTGTATCTTATCTGCCTGTCTTTTTACCTGGTTGCGGCAACTGCGTCAAGTAAAAACTCTGATATTTAGCCGCTATCTTGAAAAGGTATACCAACATCACGGTAAAAACTTTGTCGTCTGACCTCCTGGGTCTCCGGGTGGCCAAGGTCGCGCCGACTGCCCTCCGATGGCCCGTGTATGGCGCTCAATAAGCCGAGCTGTCGTGCCGAGCCGCACCCATTGTTACCGTTAACTGTTAAATACCTCGTCGACGTCGACACAGGCACAGCAATGACCTTTATGAAGCGCACGATTGCACAGCACAGGGCCTGCGCCGCCACTCTCGTCACTGTTTTATTCAATGCGTTGAAACATAAGTTGGTGCTCTACATAAAATGCAAATAGGTAGGTAGATACGCAAAAAGAGCCGGCACATCTACTAGTACGTGGCTTATGACCATATTAGTATCAAGTGTCGACCGCAATGGCACCGTTTCCCAGAAGGTGCTGATCCTGACATGTTTAGTTACATAACCCCTTAGCGTTAGCCGTCAGCACTCGACAGTCGACATAGTCACCCCATCGTTCCAAGGACGAGACAATGAAGCGCATTACGCCACGCATGTGTCTACTGCGCGTGACTGATCCCATGCGCCGTGGCCGACGCAGCTACGGCAGTGGGGTAAAGGGGGTGCCGCGTGTCACGTATGACACCTCATGACACCGTCTGACACGTGTGTCACCTACATACATGTCTAGATACATGTCTGTTGTCTGTACATGTCTACATACATATATGCATCGGCGACGAGCCCATGTTAGGTAGACGGGACTCTCCCTCCTCAGCCAGGATTACCGTGTTTCGCACAGCGCCCGGCCCCGGCTGTGTGGAATTCGTTCCCGGTCAGAGAGTTTCACGGAGTCGGTAGGTGGCCGACCGCCATATGGTACTGGTTGCCGCGGCTTCCAGGTAGCTCTGACGGTGCCAGATGGTCAATATCGAGCCCCGCCGCGCCGCCGCGACCGCCCCCCCCCCGCTGCTGCGGGGAGGGGCCAGGGGGTGACCTCTGTCACCTCTGTGACCCCGCCCACTCCCCCCCCGAGTCTCTGACTGGTAGATCCGGGATTGGATGATGACCTACGGTATATCAGGAGCGGGACTTCCAGTTCATTGTGTCTCGCTCACTGAACGCTCACTGAAAACATGTGATCTCGACAATATGAGACTTGCGAGCATCTGAAGCTCTTTGGGCTCAGTCGATTGACTGAGCCCCGAGGCCTTTGGCGTTGACTGTGTGAATGTGACTGTGACTGCGTTTAGTTTACCGCTGCGTCTGAGCCACGGATGCGGTGCCGACGCCGGCGGCTAGTCCGTGCGCCCGACCGGCAGGACGCGCAAAAAACGACAGCAAAAACAGCTGCCTTGAACCGGTGACCCGTCGAACGAGGAAAAAAACGCGGGTAAAAAGCGCCGCCCGCCTGCCGGGGCGCGCTGCGGCAGATCGATATGGCCCGGTCGTGTACTGGGGGTGGGGGTGGGGGCCCGCGGGGGAGGGGCCTTCCGTCAGGGTACTTACTGGCAGGGCTGCGGAGTCGATGGATTTTCGGCGACTCCGACTCCGACTCCGACTCCGGCTTTCAAAAACCAGCTCCGACTCCGACTCCGACTCCGGGCAGAATTGTCGACTCCGACCGACTCCAACTCCCGACTCCAACTCCGCAGACCTAGTTACTGCAGGGCTGCGGAGTCGACAGATTTTCGGTGACTCCGACTCCGACTCCGGCTCGGGTTTCTAAAATCGACTCCGACTCCGACTCCGACTCCGACTCCGCAGCCCTGCTTACTGGACCGCATGACACAGCGCGGGGGCTTCGGTGTCCACTGTCCGTATTATTGCAATGAATTAAACTTTTTGATTGTTGCATCGCTTTGCTCAAATGCTTCGACTCCCAACCAATCGTGCCCTCTGGCACTCATTTCTTGTTCAAATGAAATATTTCATGATTGACACGGAATATGGATGTCTTGTCATGTCACTTCGACTGCAGTGTCGGCCTTTTGCCAATCATATTTATGTTTTATGTTAGACATTGATGATGACAAGAGCATGACTCTGATTGGGTCGCTCGCTGTCCAGCTAACTTGGCACATTCAACAATTCTTTGCCACTGCACGGAACGCTCGCTTGTCAACGAAAGTCGCATTTGCGAGTACAGCTAATGTTACCATACCCTTGCGTTGGTGAGCAGATGGCAATATAGCGGAAGAGATAAGCTGAAGTAGACGGTGACCTCTAGGCCCACCCCACTGACCCAGCCGTGCTGCGACTCCATCATATGTGTTACGTCTGTGACCTTTCTCATGGAACATAGGTCACCCCGATCGTGACGTTGGGCGGCTCACAAAGGTCAACCTGCTTCCATCATCTGTAAGGCTTCTGATCAGACAAGACCCAACGT